TAGTCTGATCGATCCGCCCCCTCTCCAGCACGTCTTGTTTTAATGACAGGAGTAAACACTGACAGCCGCGGTGAAACTCGAGCAATTAGAGCGATGCGAAAAAAACATGAATTAATGCTTTTATTAATTCATGGTTTTTAACCCTTTAACTGCCAGACAAAGAAAAAAGCTATGGAAAAATATATTTTTTGCATGTTCTTATCAAATTGGCCACAAATAAGCACAAACAAAAAAAAATGTTTTGACTGACCACACAGTTTTGTTTTTATGAGCCTCTACCAACTGGTCGAGCTGGCCTTTTATGGTAAAAGTACATTTTCAACAATCATCATTGTGACGGCTGGATTTGTATGCATCAAACTCAAATAAAACACAAACTCAAATACATTTGTTTCTTTTATGGAAAATGAGCAATATATACAACCAGATATATTTGTAAAAGATAATACATTATAATTGTAAAAAAAATAAAATGGAAAAAAGTAATGTAAAGTGCTTTTTATGATAAAAAAAAGACTTGCTCATCTTACTGTATATAATGAATTGGCCTAACAGGAAACCACTGGCCTAACAGCAAATGTCTATATCCTGTGTTGGCCTAACTTGCTCATCTGTGTGCAACTTTGGGCTGAATGCCATGCATGAAAGGTGCTATATAAATTATTATCACTCTTTCACTCTGAGACTCATGAAGCTCAGCGCAAGTTCAGACAGGAAGACCTATCACTTCGTATTGCACGTCATGGCAATACTCGCTCCCTTCACTTAATGATAGGGAGCGCCACTCCTCAGCAAACCTATCACGTCCCTCCATTCACAAGCCTAATCATCGCACCTGGTAATCCCTCTATATATGCTCTCCCCTTTTCTATCAGCTGTCTTCCAGGTGTCAACGCGCAAGCAGCAGCAGGGAGAGCATATATAGAGGGATTACCAGGTGCGATGATTAGGCTTGTGAATGNCTTTGAGTTCATCTCATGAAAAATGGGAGCAAAAACAAAAGTGTTGCATTTATATTTTTGTTCAGTGTACATGCAGTAAAGGGCACCATCAAAAAGCAATACTTAACAATAACAACAACCATAATGTTTCATCATTAAAAAACCATAGACTGTAAATATGAGGAAAACACAGACACTCATCACCGAGGTCACAATATCAATCGATCCAGCAGAGCAATAGCCTATAGGCAAAACACAGAAGATCAACAAAAGATATGACATAAAATGAACTTACCAAAGCTGAAGTAGATAGTCAACTTCATTCATTTTCTTTCCGTTTTACTGATTTGAATCACGATAAGCTGCTCTCTCTCGTCTCCTCTTCACAACTACACTTTTCGCGGCACACGTACTTACAGCCAATCAGCTCTGAATTATGAGATGACGTTTTGGTAGGGTTACCAGCACTTTGACCCACTGGTGATTCTTTTTTTGCCGCACACATTGAATAGAAAAAGACTGAGCACAACTTTGTATAGAATCCATGTAAAATGTGAACCTGACAAATGCTAAGAATTAAGGTATTAGGAGATGAATACAAACATAATTAACCCTTAGACTTTATGCACATATTGAAAACCAACATAATTGGCTTATAATGCACTTTCTCTACTCATCACACTCTTGGAATAATTTAGCCTTGCAGTTATTCAACTGTTTTGCTTCAAATGTCACAGTGCATTTTAATACTAATAATGACCTAACAACTGTGATTTCTGTTTTTGGTAGGACACACTAGCAGCTACACATTAGATACTGGTACACAAGGTGTTTGCATTTGGGAGCTGTAATCTGTCGGATAAAGTCATTGATTGTGGCTTTATAATTGAACACATATCGAGGCATTTAATACCAAATGAAAGGTATTTCTCCTCGTCTATTGCAATGCTAATCTTTTACTGAGACGTCAGACATCTATCCACCCTTGTAGTAGGTGTGCGTGAGTGTGTGTTTGTGTGTTTGAGAAAGAAAGGCTGATACAGACAGTGAAGTGGAGTGTTTCTGTCTGTGTTTGTTCCTGCCTGTATTTGCTTGTTCATGTGTGAGTGAATGCGTGTGTGTGTGTGTGTGTGTGTGTGTGTGTGTGTGTGTGTGTGTGTGTGTGTGTGTGTGTGTGTGTGTGTGTGTGTGTGGGTGTGTGTGTGTGTGTGTGTGTGTGTGTGTGTCACGTCTCTGTTCCAGTTCAACTCTCTGTCTAGCAGCTTACCTGTCTACTGAAGCA